GTAGTTGAAACAATGCTTCCCAAGTAGGTAAAGGAGGTAGTTTCTTTCAGGTTCCTTCCATTTATGCTGATTGCTGTCTGTTGTTGTTGCTGTTGCATTTGGTGTTGGCCAGGAATCTTCATCACCTCTGTTTTCTCTATGTTCACCTGGAGTCCTATCTTTGATGCTTCTTCTGCCAACTTGTTGCTCTTCACTTGCATATCTTCCAGTTTGTGGGAAATCAGACATATATCATCGGCGAAGTTCAGGTCCTCCATGTTTTTTGTGTGAGTCCATTTTATGCCTGTTTCCTCATTGCCCACTGTTTGTCGCATTATCCAGTCTACTGCAATCAGGAAAATCATTGGAGATAGTAGGCAGCCAGCTTGTCTTACTCCTGTCCTCACTTTGAAGGGTTCCGTAAGTTTCCCGTTGTGGATCACTTGGCATGCAGCGTTGTCATACAACTGTTGGATGAGATGTATAATTGTCGGCGGCACCCCGTAGTAGCGAAGTAGTTGCCAAAGCACCTCTCGATCGACGCTGTCGAAGGTCTTTTCAAAGTCGATGAAGTTGAGATAGAGAGGTGACTGCCATTCCAGGCTTTGTTCAATGATGATCCGTAATGTGGCTATCTGATCAATGCATGACTTGTTTCTCCTGAATCCAGAATGTTCCTGTCGAAGTCTTTCATACAGGGCATGTTTGATTTTCTTCAGGATGATGCGGCTTAGTATTTTGCTTGGGGTGGACAGGAGCATAATTCCGCGCCAGTTCTTGCATTGACTTAGGTCTCCTTTCTTTGGTAGTTTGAATAAGTCTCCTTTCTTCCAATCCTTTGGTACTTTGCCTTCTTTCCACACCTTCTGTAGTAGTGGCGTCATCAAGTCCGCTGTTGTCTCTGGATCAATATTCAATGCTTCTGCTGGGATTCCATCTGGTCCTGCTGCTTTTCCAGCTTTCAGCATCTTGATTGCCTTCAGGACTTCTGATTTCGTCGGGGTGTTGGTGTTCACTGGTAGCTCTGTCTCCGTTGTTGGTATTGTTGGGCGCGTTGTAGGTGGCGGTCGGTTTAGTAGTCTTTTGAAGTGTTCAGCCCAGTGTTTCCTTTGCTCCACTTCTTTGTTGAGTGACTTTCCATCGGCATCCTTCACTGGCTTTAATTGTGACGAACTTTTGCCTGAAAGGTACCTAGTAGTTTGGTAGAGTGTTGAGAGGTCTCCTTTGCCTGCTGCTTGTTCTGCTTCCCTTGCCATGGCTTCATAATACTTTCTTTTGTCTTCTCTGGCACTCTTCTTTACTCCTTTGTTCAGTGTATTGTAGCTTGCATTCAACTCCTGTTTCTGTTGCTCGTCGGTGCACTGGATAATCTTTTGTTTCACCATCCTTCTCTCTTCTATTAGCCTCCAAGTGTCCGTAGTGAGCCACGGTTTGTCCTGTCTCTTCTTTCTGCCCAGAACTTCCATGCAAGAGTGAACACACTGTCAAATTAGAGGATGGGTTATACCTACCTGATTATCTCAACTTCTCGACGTGTATGCTTAGACGGAAGGTCAGAGGAAAGAACTATTCCAGAGTATTTATTGCTTGACTTAGTTATTCCCTCAGTGCCCTCTATGCTACTGACATCTTGTTAGGCAAACCAGGACACTTTTATTGCCTGAAGGTGAATTTGATTGTCTGATAATTGGAGGGATTTAAGGTAAGACCATTTAGCTTAAACCACTGCCTTATATTTGACTGACATCGGTTAGAAAAACATTCGAAAACCACCAGGAAGTACTGAACAGCTGTTTCGTCAGCCTAGTTTGGGACTCTTCATCAGCACGCACCCACCAAGGAGGTTCGAACCCAGGACCTTCCGGTTACAAGGTAAGCAAACTCGAGGACCATTAAGCCACTGGGTCCTGCCCGATCCAATGGTCCATGAATTCGAGCTTCTGCCAGTGGATGCGTACAGACGAAGACTTCCAAACTAGGATGAAACAGCTGTCCAGTACACCTAACTGGTTTTCCAATGGTCCTGTAACCGATGTCAGTTCATGATGAAATCCTGAAATCAATCAATAAAACTCATGAAAAAGCCATTTAGTGTGGAACCATCAGATGTGGTCATGACTGGCAGCCAGACAGTCAGATCATCAGAGTACTTTATACAGTCGATTTCTTTCTAAAGAGGTAAGTCGTATAAGAAGAAAGGAAACAGAAGAGGTGGGAGAAAAGCAGCGTGAGGCACTCCAGCTTCAGTAAGCAAGACATAGGAAGATATGCTTTTATATATACAGTAAACTGCACTCTATCAGAGAAATAAGAATGCAACCAGTTAACAGCCCACAACTCGATTTGTGTAAAGGAAAGCTTATTTAATAAAAGATATCTGTGCACAGAGTCAAAAGCGGATGTGAACTCAAGGTAGGTTTATCAAATATATTTGTCTCCTTTGTCTTAACAGGGAACAATACTTTGATATATGACAGCAGCTGCATCTCAATCACTTCTGCCTTGTTTATATATAAACTGCTTAGGGTCATTAAAACTTTTCACCGAATGTTCAAGAATAATTTAAGGTAATCTTTTTTTGACTACAGCTTGATTCCACACCGTATTTTTAGTACAGGTATGGAGTTTTCCACAGGTGATATCAGTAGCCCAAATTTTGCAGGCCGACCATAGATATCAGATGTGTGTTGGCAAGGGATCGAACCCCGGACCATGTGCATGATCGGCGAGAGTCCTAACCACTGTGCCACCGACGCACAATTTCACCATCCACTTTTAAAAAGAACAGGTAACTGCAACAGGTTTAAATTTAACATTCATACTAGAACATGATTTGTGTATCGGGATAATTCTAATGTTTTTCCACGCCACGAGTACAACGTTGCTGGAAAGAGAGGAATTGAAGCTGTTCTTAAGAGGATAAAATAAAGTAATCAATCAACACGTCTTTTGAGGACAACAGCAGCTACACCATCATGACCAAAGCTTTGGGAATGTTTTAAAAAATTGGAGACACTTGAGAACAACAAGAGCATTAAGACCCTAAAACGTTGCTAGCCTTATGATTTCTAACATTGGGAACGATAACGTCAGCGAGAGAGCGTATAAAAGACTTATCAGGTGTATTCACGTCCAAAAAGAGGGAACAGTAGTACTTTGTCTACATGTCGTTAGATAGACGACAAAATCATAAGATAGATACACAGAAAAGAGACCTGGAGGGCGGTTTATCTTGACTTCAATAGTTTCTACCCTATAAGTTGCAAAAAAGTATTGGTGAGGACGTTATTCGATCGTGTAAGGAAGCTGTGTTCAGAAGAAAAGATTGGGGAAGAGCTATCCATTGTGGAGAAATGCCTATTCGACAACGGTTACCCACAGAAGTTCATCGACAAGTATGGGAGATATCATGTTGAAAAAGTGAAAAGCAGTACAGTAGAGAAAAAGCCTATCTTTCTGCAGATTGTATTCAAAGGTGATGATATTGCCAAGCTTGTATGTGTTTATCAAACAACTAATTGTTTGAGACAATCAAAAGTGGACAAATACCCACCTCATCTTACCTCCAATTGTGTCTACTAATTTACATGTACGTGCCAAAGCACATACATCGGAAGAACAGAGAGAGGGGTTATTGTCCACATTTCTGAAAACATACCGAAGAACCCGAGACTGAAAGGTCCACAAGTATTAAACTGTGCAATTGCGCGTCATCTATTAGACACTGGTCATAATGTAGACAACTTGAAGTCGTTCAAAATAATCAACAAGCAAAAGAAACCTAGCTTGCTACGCTTTGCTGAAGTAATTGCTATCAAACGACTTAAACCAAATCTATGCACGCAGAAAGAGACAGTGGTGAATCTTGCACTGCCCTGGTGATAATAAAATATACAACTTGTATGAGTCACCCTTTTTCTTGTTTAGAAAACTCCACTCTCTCATCTAAACATGAGTGTGGCGACTTCAACTGCTGCACATATGTGCAAAGTTCTATGTAGAAAACCGACCGACCGAAACATGACTCACCCTATCTTGTTCTTTTCTCTTCTTTTTTTTCTATTGGCTATTAGATAAAACATTTTCTTTAGTTACGTAATCTACTTTTTTGTTATGCTCTTTCTAGCTAAACCTTGTTTCTATACACACATATATATATGCAACTCTGTTTTTGTTTCCAAGCCTAATTGTCTAATTATTCTATAAATAGTCAGTGTTTGTAACTCTTAATTAATTAAATCATTCCGGACTAATGTTACTTTTACTTCCTACCAACCAATTACTCCTTGTGATCGTGGAAAAGTATGTTCAAATCTTTAATGTAATTCATATTTTTTATCGTTCATGTTGTAACCAGTTGAGAAGAATCCTGAAATAACAGGAAAAGATGAGCTCATATTATCCTGGTACAATTGTTGTTCTTGCTTTGTTCAAGTTTATTAATGGGAAGAATTGCATGAAGCTTTTGAATAGTGTTTGCATAATATTTTATGTGTTTGAGATTAAGTCAGTGAGCTGAAATTAATACCATAGATGATTCTGATTCAATAAATGTAATCAAAATATAAAATTTAGTCATTTAGGGAGTGAAAGGTAGCGCTATGTCGTGAATTGGCAGAAGTTAGAATCCCTGGGCTGGCCTTTGGATCGGGTCCCAGTGGCTCAATGGTCTACGAGCTCGCCTTGTAACCAGAAGGTCCTAGGTTCGAACCCCGGCGGTGGATGCACGCTGCTGAAGAGTCCCAAACTAGGCTGATGAAACAGTTGTCCAGTACTCCCAGTTGGTTATCCAGTGGTTCTCTCACTGATGTCAGCTCATGTTGAAATCCTCCATGCAATCAAACAAAAAATCCCTACAAAATCAATACTTGAAAGATTGTTCCCACTATCTTTCTCTATGCATAAGTCTGGTTATCAACATTTGATTGTAGTCGAATTCATTAAATTCTAATAAATTTTAGTGCCCTCTGAGTATTTACAAGTCTGCGTTTATTTCCCCTTTTTTTCCAATTTTTCCACAGTAATGAATTTCCACGTGAAGATAAAACATCCTCAGCATCCTTTTGTTGTGACAAATCACAGTTGTTTAATCAAAATCCAGGAATAATTTCTGAAATTATTGATAATACTACTAATAATAGCACTACTGTTAGCAAAAGTAATACAAGTAATCAAAATATATTTCAAGCAATTAATTATTCTTTATTAAATAATAAGAATAATCCCCCTCAACTTTACGGTTCAACATTACTAATCCCTACAGTACCAGATCTATCCACTGGACAGAATGAAATTCGTTCTGGAAGTTTGGGAAGCGCTTACCCATTACACTGTGCGCCGTATCATTTTGGACAGAATAGATATGGTTTATTTCATGGTGCAGATTACCATTACAAACAACGTCAACAACATCTACAACAACGTTATCATCATCATCATCAGCATCAACGCCATGATCACGATCAACACCATGATCCTCTTCGAGATCAATATCAACATCATCATAATAGTAATAGTAATAATAATACTAATCCAAGATTAACAATGAGTTATTCAGAGTTATTGAATTCTATGATTCCACAACACTGTCACAGTCAACTGTCAACACATAACAATACTAATGATGATGTTAGCAATAGTAGTATGAGTAATAATCACAAACCAGATAGTTTTGAAGGTGTAACCAACTTATCCAAACCTAAAACAGGGAATTCAAGCAACAGCGAAGCGCCAAACACCACCATCCAACACCTCTGTGTTGACAATTGTAACAATGATTGCCATATTAGCATAAAAGACAATAATAATAAGGATAAACAACTATCACAAAGTCCTAAATTACTAATAAACAATTCAGAAATAATCAATAATCAAATTGAAGATTACCATTCAACTTGTTCTCCTCAAAACCAGTCAATCTCACAGCATAATTCTAATCTTGATATAAATCCGCCAGTGTTGCCAACACGTACTAGTTCATTAATTATGCATCAAAAACTTTATCATATGAATAAAACAGATCTGAAAAGAAATATCACCTTATCATCATGTATGATACCTGGTCCTTCATCTTCTTCATCATCTTTATTACCGTTGCATAATAAAGTTGATTTTATGCAACAAAGTATGATTGATTATCCATATAATTATGACATAACAACATCTAGTAGTCAGTCGCAACAATTTATCAATCCAACTGAAAGTCAACAACATTCACGTAGTCATAGTACACTTTCAACAAGACGCGGAGGATTTAAATCCTATGAAAATACATCACAACCAGCGACAATGACCTCTTCCACTGAGACTGTATCTAATCATGAAGTAATGACAACCTCATTTTTACAACAACAACAACAACAACAGCCCTCACCTAATTTATCGAATAAGAATATTAACAGTAATAATAATAATAATGTTGATGACGATGTTAACAGCAGAAGTATAGATGAAGAATTCGAAAGATCATTCCCAGGTACACTGAATGACTCATTCAACGATGAATCATCACCTTGTCAAGATAAATCCTCCTTAGATGATAAAAACAGTAAATTTCTAATTCCTGATCCTATCCCAATCAGTCCATCATGTGGTGCTTTAGAACAATTTATGCCGATGAATCATGCCTCTAGACTACTTGGTCGTATGTCTGACAAATTACGTGATGGCCGACTAGCTGATGTCATTCTACTGGCTGGTATCAAGTCAACATCAACATCCACGTCATTAATGAATACAAAATGTGCGAATTTAATTTCTGATCACAATTATTCATCAACTACTAAAATGGATTTAAGTAGTCTACCTGACGAGTTGATAGTTCGCATACCTGCACATCGTGTGATATTAGCTGCAGCTAGTGATTATTTCGCTGCTATGTTTAGTAATGAATTGAAAGAGGCTACGGAACAAGAAATCTGGATTCATGAAGTTGATCCGTATGCCTTGAAAGCATTGATCAATTATATTTATACAGGTAGTTTTATTTATTATGATTTACTTTATTCCGTAAACAGTACTTGTGATACAGAATGGAATTTTCAGCATTAATCACAATATTGCATCTAATTTCCTCAAATTATAAATAAAATTAATCACACAGAAAAGTTTTCCACATTTACAATAGGGGTAATGTCAAAAATACATGCAGCATATAAAATGGAAATAATAATAATAATAGCAGCTAAGGTAATGATAATAATACAAGTGGAAATTGCCATGGGCTTGTTTCACACAGTATTGTCGATGCGGTATACAAATCCTTGCATGATTAAAAATATTGAATATAATGTTCTCTTTACATGATATGGTGAGGGAAAAAACAAAGATTACAGCAGTCATAGAGATAAGTTGGTGTTTACAGTTATGAAAGTAAAAACAAAGAAGCAACAGGACCATAAATATAATAGAAATAATAAAAGTAAAACTTGAAGGTATATAAAGATGGATGGAGGAGATTGTTTATTTACTAGATGAAAAAAGGTTAGTCAATTCTTGCCTGACGCTATTTTCATCACATAAAATACGTGCCAAGTATGGTATCATAGAACTTTTATACTTAGACGTGCGAGCATACAGTTTTCTGAAGTTACTTCTTGTTCTACCTGAGGAGATGCAAGGTGAAAGCTGAGGGTGAAGTGGATGCTCCAAGTCAGACAAAATCCCTTTAGCAAATTTACTGCACGAAGTCAAATGCCTATCGACAACGACGTTAACTATGTAGTCCACTGGAACACCACTCATCCTACTGACAGTCTTCAGCATTCTACGAATTGTGACAAAGTCCTTTTTAAGCAAACCAGGAAAGAATAAGGGTGAACAATAAAGAAGAATAGGTAGGATGCAAGAGTTTATGAACTGTAAGAGGAGGGGTTGAGTTATACCACAGTGCCTTAACTTCTTAATGTAAAATGTCAGGCGGAATATTTTACTGGAGATCGCTGAGACATGGGAAGACGAGGAGAGATCAGAAGAGAGAATAAGTCCAAGATACTTAATTTCTGATTTAATTCCTATATCATTGTCATCAATCCTACAACTATCATGAGAATCGACGGCTTCTTTTAACTGTCGTTTACATCTTAAGCTGAAATTAACAGTTTGACATTTAGAAGGATTCAGTTTAAGACCGTTAGACTCAGACCATTTACTGACTCCCGACAGAAAGCTATTTATTTTGGTACAATCTAGCTGGGAGTTAACAGCCATTGAAACTGTTAAATCATCAGCGTACTTCACCAAGTTTATTTCATCAGACTGAGGCAAGTCATGTAAGAAGAAAGAAAAAAGAAAAGGAGAAAGGACAGCGCCTTGAGGGACACCAGCTTCAGTAGGCAATGAAGTGGAAGACTTCCCTTTATACACGGTGTACTGCTTTCTTTCTGAGAAATTGGAATGTGACCAGTTAACAGCCCAACATTCTGTTTGACTTGCAGCAAGTTTATTTAATCTGATGTCCCTAAGGACATGTACTGATTATGTACTGATTGAAACGAGTGATTAGAAATCAATCATATCGTAGATCGTAGTGATTGAAAAACACCGGATAGCCATTTCACTGCTTCTACACCAAGCTCATTAGTGGTGCAATGCGAATAACTCAGGCCAGATAACTGAATCATTTCAAGCCACTCGATGGTTCTGTGACAGAGCGCTTGCCGACAGCTCATGTGGTCTAAGGTTCGATCGGCCGCCGAAAGTAAGGCTGGTAAAGAGGAGAGGTTGTGTGTGAGGCTAGCTAGTAACTCCACTCTGTAAAGATCACATCACTGTTACTGAAACTTTTAAGCTGAAGTCCGCAGTCCTATGCTCTACTGGTAACTTAAAGAAATAGAATAACAGAGATCTCCTCGTTTATTCCTTGTGATACTATATTATTTTGCTGGACAGTTCAGCACAGTATGTCAAAATCTCATTTTCGTCTCGCTTAGTCATTGTTTATGATTTATCTATTCGGGAAAGAAAAGAATTTTCCCCGCAGACTAATCCCATTTTTTTATGTTTATATGATTTATTTCCATTTCTAGTGGTTTCATGCTTTTAATATAAACAACATTGTAAATTTTTTGTTTATATTGAAGTGATTTTCTTTAGTGAATGAAGATTAGTCATCGAATCGACTGCGTCAGTTGTAAATCGCTTAACTGGATGTGAGAATTTACTACATTCAACTTTGGAAACAAAAATCATCCAGATCAATGAACTATGCGATCTGGTTGATACCTTAAAGAATGACTGGCAAAAACACTATCGTCTACTACTACACTACTATAGGGATCAGAGACTTGGTGGCGCGTCACGAAGGGCACTTTGAACAAACTACAGACCTTCATCAACAGCCGTCTTCGCTCAATACTCAAAATCAGATGGATGGCCAGAAAAGATCAGCAACAGAGATCTCTGGCAATGAACGAACCAACCCAGCAGGAACCGATTGTCTAACAAATATGCAGGAAGAAATAGAGGCGGATCGGTCATACTCTGAGAAAACCATCAAGTGAATGACATCACACGCCAGGCCATCGCACGACTGGAGCCCGAATGGGAAGTAGCGAGTTGGTCGTCAGTGCGAGGGTCAGATGGAAGAGAAGGCCATGTGAAGAGGAGATGAAAGCATGTGCGCAGATGTGGAGCCAGATGAAAACGTTGGCAGAGAACCGAATGCAATGGAGACGTGGGCGGCTGAAGTCCTATGTTCCTCTAGGAATTAAAGGAAACAATAATAAGCACTACTGTCTAACATGTATGGTTTCCAACTACTGATATTAAACAATCAGTAGTATATGCTATCATGTTATTTTGCTTGTATTCTTCATCGCTATCCATAATATCAAGTAAATCTGATGGAGAAGATTTGTAGCTCAGGTGGATGATTTTGATGTGGTTGTGTTCTCTGAGCTGGATAGTTAATTTGCGAAGCTTTCATCACCCTACTAGGTGACATCTTCAGCGCATACTTCAATTTGAAATGAGCTTTTAGATTTCTCCACGAGTTTATTAATCATCTCTCCCGGTGACCTTGGACGTGATTGGTTGTTTTTGTGCGTTTTCACACCTTCTAGGCTACTTGTATTGGAACTAATTGTTTCTTTAACTTGATCTTTGACCCTTTGTGTGTGAGGTTTCTTTCTTATCGATTGATAAATTTTGTCAATCTCGATGTGTTTATTGATTGATGATTCACTGGAATGCCAAGCTTCTAAAAATTCTCTAGCATTTTTGTTGTTTCCTCTGTCTAATATTTGAACATTATCCCAATCGAATTGATGCCCGTGGTTGTCTGTATGTAGTGATATGAGGGAGTGGATGTCATGTCTTTTGACGACTAGCTTATGTTCGTGGATACGAAGACGAAGGGGACGTCCACTTTGGCCAATGTAGTGTTTTTCGCAGTTGTTGCAATTTATCTTGTAGATGATGTTGGTTTTATCTTCTTTCGCTGTTGAGTCTTTTGGTTGACATAGAACTGAGTGAAGTGTTCTACGTCAACCAAAAGACTCAACAGCGAAAGAAGATAAAACCAACAACACGTCCAAGGTCACCGGGAGAGATGATTAATAAACTCGTGGAGAAATCTAAAAGCTCATTTCAAATTGAAGTATGCGCTGAAGATGTCACCTAGTAGGGTGATGAAAGCTTCGCAAATTAACTATCCAGCTCAGAGAACACAACCACATCAAAATCAAGTAAATCACATATTGTGGCGATCTGAATATTTCTATCATGAAATGTCATGAATTTCAAGCTGAAACTGCGTAACTTGCAAGCTGTGTGTTTAATTCTGGGCATTACCGCTGCATCCAAGTAGCTAACGAGAAAATATGGGTAATTTGAAGTCATTCGATTGTCTGGACTGGAGTTAAACCAAATGCACTTCTCATCTCAAAGCGAAACTTTAAACCACTTCGATCTGGTTAGGAAACACTAATGATTGATGTAAGAGATTTCCAGCTAGAAGAAAAGAAGTTCAGTGATATCATTCTCAAACTATGCAATCGCAAATATCTTTAAATATTCTCATTATTAATATTAGAACAAGACATATAAGTGAACAATATTGTTGTTTTCAATTAGATCTTCTTCAGGCTTTACTCTAATTTACATAGATTTATATATGTAACAAGTTTAACCAATGACGGTGATTTTGTGGATCAAATACTATTAATAATAATGTAGTAAATGTTTTGAAAGTCATTAATAACGATGATTATAATGATAACAAAATATTGATAATAAGGTTTATGCAGGTGGCGATAAGAATAACAAAGGTAGTAATATGTGTATATGTAGACAATTCAATAAATAAATTAGGTCAAATCTTAAAAGTTACGTAATACTGAAAAAGGTGAAGTGGACAGATAATCAGAGTTTAAATAAATATCATAAAAGTACGAAGGAAATGGAAAGGGTGGGAGGGTTTTGAATAGAATTCACCTAGGCTAAGCAAGGGAGAGACAAAGGTAGAACAAACTTCTTTTGTTGTATGCAAAGACTAGGATTGTTCTCTCGAATTAATTCCCATAGCTTCGGCTAGGTGTAAAAGACGGGTTCGAATTCCGTTCGAAAGACTCGATGGAATGCGATAGATAACTTTGAAGGCACTATTTTTGTCCACTTGGTGACCGCTATCAATCAAATGAGCCAAAATAGAACTTCGTATGGATTTTATTTGACCTTTTCCGAACCATGAAGGAAGATGCTCATTAATGCGTTTGTTAAGCTGTCTAGTTGTTCGCCCTAATAGCTCTCCACAGGAGCAACTAAATTTGTAGATACACATAGAAGTGGCACAGCTAGGTAGCTTATCTTTCACTTGAGCAATCATAACTGGTCGGCTGGAAAATGACAAACAAAGGGTGGTAGCAGTATAAGTCCGTTTTTTGCTCTCGATAATCTCAGATGTAAGACTTCACTAGCCACGTCCCCATTAAATTGTAATTTTATGAACAGTTGTTTCTTTTATAACTGTTGTCAGTTTCTCTTTATTGTACCTGGTGTTCATATGTCTCCTTACAAATCTACTAGGATAACCCAGTTGGACCAGCGTATTTTGGATGTATCCTAACTCATTTTGTACAGATACGTCTTGCTCTATTCGTGAGGCATCTGACCAAAATGATTCTGTATCGGATTGGTACAAAACTGAAGAAATGCGTATATTGTCCTACAGATGTAGGTTTTCTATAGACATCTCTCTTGAGTGATGTTATCATTATAATCATCGTTATTAATGACGTTCAAAACACCTAACACATTATTATCTATTATTTGATCCACAAAATCACCGTCATTGGTTAAAATTGTTATATATAAATCTATGTAAATTAGAGTAAAGCCTGAAGAAGATCTAATTGAAAACAACAATATTGCTGGCTTATATGTCTTGTTCTAATCTCATATATGTATAGCAAAATTACCTAAGCAATAAAAGGAATATTTCCAAAGGTGTGTCATTAAGCTTCGTAAATGCTTGTTTCAGATAATGAATTACGTTATATAAAAAGCGTTTATCGAGTAGAAACTAAAACAAGAAAATAGGCAGGTAAATTGAGTGACATAATATAAATTTGATGGGGCTGAGTAGAATTCACCTGAAATTGAATAAGAGTCAAGTTAATGACAGTGGTAACAAGAGTGGGTGAGAAAAGAAAATAACAGGAATTAATTTAATATATGTGTAAAACTTGGGCACTGTGGTAGTAGGTAATTCCATATTAGTTTGTTTATTAGACATATCACACAGTGAAGTGACAGTATTATTTACTGGATGACGTTTCGAACAAAATTTATTGTTCACAGTCATATCAATTGTGATCACACGACTTTGACACTTGAGTTTTATAGCTTTCTTTGTTCTCTCCTATTTGTCGTAGAGGGAGTAGAATTTTCCAGATATCGGGGACAGGTGATGAATCATTCCTATTACATGTATTTGCAGCTGATTCGATAAACCCACAAAGTCAATTAGAAACAAGCTTTGTCGGTTAAATGGTGGATCCTATGGAGCCTTTAAAACAATACAATTGAGTTTATCTAATACCCTGCCTGCAATGATTATCAGGTCAAATACATTGGTCAAACTAGCAGAACAGGAGCAGTCAGACTAGCTGAACATAAGAACTTAGCGAAATCTAAATTAGTTGATCTAAATAAGATAAGAAATCTAGAGAATAGTTCAGCTATAGCACTACATGCAGTCACACACAACCATACAATAGGATGGGATAGGATGATAGTTTTAAAATCTGATGTCACAGGGTGGAGGGAGAGATTGATAACAGAAGCTTTGTTTATCGAATCAACTGCAAATACATGTAATAGGAATGATTCATCACCTGTCCCCGATATCTGGAAAATTCTACTACCACAATGACAACAAATAGGAGAGAACAAAGGAAACTATGTAATTCAAGTGTCAAAGTCTTGTGATCACAATTGATATGACTATGAACAATAAATTTTGTTCGAAACGTCGTCCAGTAAATAATACTGTTTCTTCACTGTGTGATATATCTAATAAACAAACTGATATGGAACAGGAATTACTTATTTGGTGTTTAGACAGTCCAGGTTCATCATAGACTTAGTGACTGAACAAACTTCTTTTGTATGCAGAGTTCATGATTTAACAGGTAAATTACCATTGCTTCTGCAGTTAAAAGAAGTTTGATTTGTACTCTTTTAATAAGGTTCCCACGTATTCTGTAGACGACTTTAAAGTTGATTTGTGTGTTAGCTTGGTATCCACATTCGATCAGATGTTCCAGGATACACTTGTGGTTGTAAGGAGGAGGATTTATTTACCTCTCTTTTATAAAACCATGACTGTGGGTAAGCATTTGATGATACATTTGAATACTTGCATACACTGGCTTGATTTCTATCTGCTTTTGAGTATATAATTTTATAGCTCTAATGTATCATCCTGCATCAGTGGCACAGCGGTAAGGATGCTCCCCGACCATGCACATGGTCCGGGGTTCGATCACCGGCTGATGCACTCCTTTACCTCGCTAAGTCAGAAATAATGTTGGTGAAGAGGAAAGGTTGGGCATGAGGCTAGCAACCCCATCCTGCAAAATTAAACACTGCTAAATAAACTCCAAGCCACTAGCTTGAAGCCCTATGTTCCACTGAGAACGTGAAGGAAAAAAATATATCATCGTTAATTCATGTATTTTAATGTTAAACTATATACATTCTAAAATGTAAACATAAAGACCACTTTTTTTAATTTCAGGTCATTTAGATTTACGTGAAGAGACAGTTGGTGATTTATTGGCAGCTGCTTGTTTTCTACAAATCACTGAAGCATCACAAGCATGTGAAAGATTTTTAACGAAACGTTTAGATGCAACAAATTGTTTAAGTATGTCACGTTTAAGTGAACAGTATGGATGTCATTTATTGAGGAAACGTTCAACAAAATTTGTGTTGGTAAGTTAAATAAATAAAATAAATATGAGTATTAAAAGTGATTAATGTTTGCTCAAAAGTATATTGGTGGCTCACTGGTAGAATGCTCGCCAACTAGGTACAAGATCCCGGTTCGATTCCCGGCTGACACATTCCTGATAAAGCTGGAAAAGAGAGAAGGTTGGGCATTAGACTAGCAATACCAACCCGTAAATAACACGCTACGGTCACCACTGAAGCCATATGTTCCACTCAGAAACGAAAGAGTTGGAAAAATGTTTATTGATAAGAAAGAAAAGATTAGCATATATATAAAATATCTAATAGGCTTTCAAAATAGAGAAATGAGCCAACAGTTCGCTTAGACGTCAGTAACTAATCTCGGTTTCCAAAGGGATACATCCATTTAGAAGAGTCAGTTGAATTATGTCCCAGTTGTTGCTTTTGTTAATGTATGTGTACAACTTGTGCACTGTGGTAGTAAGTAATTCCATATTAGTTTGTTTATTAGATATATCACACAGTGAAGTGACAGTATTATTTACTGGATGACAAATTTCGAACAAAATTTATTACTGTTCATAATCATTTCATCAATTATAATCACACGACTTCGAAACTTGAGTTTTATAGTTTTCTTTGTTCTCTCCTATTTGTCGTCGTTGGTGTAGTGGAATTTTCCAGATATCTGGGTGGAGAGGTGTTGAATCATTCCTCTTACACGTATTTGCAGTTGATTCGATAAACAAAGCTTCCGTTATCAATCTCTCCTTCCACCCTGTGATATTAGATTTTGAAGCTGTCATCTTATCCCATCCTATTGTATGCTTGTGTGAAATTACAGGTAGTGAGTGCTATAGCTGAACTATTCTCTGGATTTCTTATCTTATTCGGGTCAACTAATCTAGATTTTGCTGCTAGGTTTTATACTCGGCTAGTCTGACTGCACCTGTTCTACTACTTTGACCTATGTATTTGACCTGACAATCATTGCAGCAGGGTATTACATAAACTAAATCGTTTTCTGTTAAAGGCTCCACAGGATTGATCCTTTAACCGACAAAGCTTGTTTCTAATTGAGTTTGTTGGTTTGAATGCCAGCCACTTTTATTCCTGCCTTGTTAAGAATTCTGCGTAAGGTTTCCGAGGTTCCTTCCTTGTATGGAATTACTACTGATGATTTATATTCCTTATTGTTGGTGTTGTCATTATCTTGCGCATGTTTGACATGCATGTCGTCATTAATATTATTATTATCACTATCACTACTATCATTATTTATTTTATTTTTACATTTCCCTACATACTTTCTAACTAATTTATCAGGGTAATTATTAAGTTTCAAAGCTTCTCTTATATGTCTCACTTCCTGTCTTAGATTTTCCTTGGTACTACTTAGTTTTTGTGCTCTGTCACTTAAACATTTCACCAATCCTATTTTCACTGACATAGGATGGGATGATCGGAAGTTCAAATATCTGTTTGAATGTGTGGGTTTCCTGTAAACACTAGTGTGTTTTTAACCTCCCATCTTCTTTCCTTTTTACGCTACAATCTAACATTGGAAGCTCCCCTTCCTGACTTTCCAATTCATAAGTGAGTTAATGTGTTCGAAAAATCTATCTATATCCTGTGTTCTAAGTACAGTGAATATGTCATCTACATGTGTCAACTACTATCCCTACGACAAATAGGAGAGAACAAAGAAAACTATAAAACTCAAGTTTCGAAGTCAGGTGATTATAACTGATGAATGATTATGAACAATAAATTTTGTTCGAAACGTCATCCAGTAAATAATACTGTCACTTCACTGTGTGATACATCTAATAAACAAACTACCATGTTGTTTTTGTTGTCAAAGGGATGAAAGTGGATAGAGGGAAGTCTTCCGTCATCTATCACGTGGTATGTTTTTCTCACCTGTTAACAGTTTCTACTCAATATTATTATGTTGTAATTCCATTAGGTTTTGAGCAGAACATGGGACTTCAGCAGTACACCTCCATTCCACTAAGTTCTCTGAAATCTTTTTTAGATGGCTCCATGATTGTCCATAAGCTTTTATTTCCTCTCTGCATGATCCCCCTCCACATCACACACAGACGCGCAACTCGTCAGTTTCTACTCACATTCCACTCAAGGATTTGTCATCTGATGTCAGTCAACAGTCTCTCCAGGGTACACAGTCCATTTCCATCTCCTTCTACATAATTTTGGGGCGATATGTTCTTGGTTGATTCATCGCCAGAGTTTAGTTCTTTTAGTCGCTTATTCTTTCTAACCGGCCATCTGATCTTCAGTATGTAGTGAAGGTACCTGCTGGTGGAATTCTGCAGCAGCCTGTTAGAAACGTTTCCACGATGCTCTCGCCAAGCGTCTAGGCCATATAGAAGCCCTAACTTCACATTAGTGTTAAAGGTCGTGTCTAGTTCCTTATGATGAGTTTGGTATACTTCTACACTGATTTCACAGTAAGTAAGGTATATCTTGCTTTTCTGATCATTTCTGGATTTGATATCCTTATCCGTGCCTTGTCCAGTTGTAATGATGACGCTTAGGTAATTGAATGAGTTGATTTCGTTCCCTTAGATTCCTTCCGTTGATGGTGACTGGTGCTTGTTATTGTTGAACAGATTGTAGCTGGTGGTCGGTTCAAGACTCCTTTGAAATGATCAGATCAACAAACACTCAGTTTAGTTTGATTCATTTCAGAGTGATTGAACAAATCAAAATGTAAGTGGATAATTGAGATGTGCAAAATGTCTTATGTAAAAAAGGCACAACTTCAGCGCCTAACTTACATCTACGACGAATTATATCATATGGTGAGGATAGAATCCATTAAATTTATAATGATTTTCCTGATGGTTGTCATACTGAACTGAAATTCTCAAACTCTGTTGATATTTGAGATCCTAGTAGGGACACACGTTGCACGAGAGGTGAATCAGATAGCCCACTATTATTATTATCATTATTGTTTCCTTTAGTTCCTAGAGGAACATAGGGCTTTAGCCGCTCACGTCTCCATTACGTTCGGTTCTCTGCCAACGTTTTCACCTGGCTCCATGTCTGCCCACATGCTTTCATCTCCTCTTCTCATGACCTCCTCCTCCATGTCACCCTCGCACTGACGACCATCTCGCCTCTTCCCGTTCGGGTTCCATTCGAGCAATGGCCTGGTGTGTGATGTTACTCACTTGTTGGTTTGTTTTCTCAGAGTATGGTCAATCCACCTCCATTTCTTCCAGCTTATTTGTTGCACAATTAGTTCCTGCTCGATTGGTTCGTCTTTCTCAGAGATCCCTGTTGCTTATGTTTTCTGGCCAGCCATCTGATCTTGAGTATTGAGCGAAGACACCTATTGATGAAGCTCTGTAGTTTGTTTGAAGTGCTCTTCATGACGCGCCAAGTCTCTGATCCATAAATTAGCAGTGACTGACTTCACACTGGAGTTGAAAATCCGGTTCTTATTTTTCATGTTGAGTGCTGTTGACCTCTACACAAACTTGAGAGTGATGACAGCTTGCCTTGCTTCCCTGATCCTCGCTTTCATATCCTCCTGATTTCTGCTTGTAGTTGAAACGATGCTTCCCAGGTAGGTAAAGGAGGTTGTTTCTTTCAGGTTCCTCCCATTTATGCTGATTGTTGTCTGTCGTTGTTGCTGTTGTCCAGGAATCTTCATCACCTCTGTTTTCTCTATGTTCATCTGAAGTCCTATCTTTGATGCTTCTTCTGCCAACTTGTTGCTTTTCACTTGCATATCTTCCAGTTTGTGGGAAATCAGACATATGTATCATCGGCAAAATCCAGATCCTCCAAGGTTTTTTTGTGTGGGTCCATTTTATGCCTGTCTCCTCGTTGCATGACCCGCTGTCTATCTGTCGCATCATGCAGTCTACCGCAATCAGGAAAATCATTTGAGATAGCCCACTGGCCGAGCGAATAGCGTTTTGACGTTTGAGACGATGTACGCTAGGTTTACGTTTCAGTGGGATCACACTCATCCATTAGGGTACAGGCATATCCAGTGAGGAGTCCCGAACGCGATAAAAAACATGCATTCTGGATTTCAAATTAAACTATTTGAAACATTTTCTTAATTTGAAATACTACAAGAAAATGCCACCTACTAGTTGAATTTAAGTTATTCCTAAATGGGACATAAAAGAGTTTTAACATAATAAAGGAAGACAATCTCAGTGAATCTTGTTACTTCCAGAACAGTCTTCTTCATGCCTCTCTCAAATTATTGTAATGACTACGATTTAGAAATAAATGACTAACGTTCAGTGTTACCAATTACGCTTTTAGTAATAAAGATAATAATGAACTGGATAATGACTGAAAGTGAAATGAAAATCTAAGTTGCAGCAGGACTCAAACCAGCAGCCTTCCAGTGACCAGTCAGGTTATCATTTCACTATAATCACTATCTCTAATTGACAGTTAGGTTTCATAGCTCTGTTAAAGTAGGACGTCACACTAGGAATTAAGAGGTCACTAGTTGGAATCCTGTCTCTATCCAGATTTTTACCTCACCTTCATCACCCGCTACATTTGTAGCGGTGTATCACTTCAAGGCTGTCTCAGATATTCTCACTACAAAATTTACTAATAATGTGATTGATAACAGTGATACACGTGATTTTGGTGGATGGTGACTAGTAGTAGAATCAAGGATGCGCATTTCGTCCCATTCAAGACTCGTCATCTGAATGTATCTACATCCTCCAGTGAGTAATGGTGTTCTCCCTGGGACTCGAACCCAGTGTCCACTAAATTAAGACGTCAAGAGACGCCTAATTGTGCATAGGGCACCAGTTACTGTTTTTTTGTTTGTTTTTAATTCCATTTTGATTTCCCTGTTGACTTACTGGACGGAAATTTGAATTCTGGATCCCACGCTGCCAGTCACTTTCTCCCTAAATTACTTTAAGTTAATCCTCAGACATCATCAAAGCGTCCGTACTTGGGACCGACGTGTCAACAGAGATAGAACGTTTCAATCCAATCAAACAACCGTAAAATCAAAAGTGAATTAGAAACAGATAGTTGACAGTGATGGCAATGAAAATAATGAGTACAATTAAACTGGTTGAAAACCTTAAAATGGTTATGAACTACTGGAGGATTACGATGAGAGATCACCAGAGTTTAAGCGACAAGTGCTTAGTTTGAATCCCAGTGGAAATAGCCTCACTCATTGGGGATGTACAGACATCCAGATGACGTATCCCAGTTGGTAGGATACGCGCATCCCGAATTCCACTGCTAGCTACGGCCCACCATGTAATAACTATGTGTAGTTCTGTCACTTTTTGCCATCAAGGATATCACCGTGCATCGGTAGACCAATGATAGAATGCTCTCCGGCTGCGTTCTATTTAGAACCTAAAAAATACTGTAGACGGATGTGAACATCGCGGTGAAGTACTCGTCAACCACGCAGATAGCCCGGGGTTCAATCCCCGGCCAACGAACTCCTTTACCTCGTTAAGCCAGTAATAAGACTGGTAAAGAGGGAAAGTTGGGCGTGAGGCTATCAACCCAAGCCCAAGAAGCTTGAATCCCTATGTCCCACTGGGAACGTAAAGGAATAAAAAAAAACCACCAAAACTAGTTTTAAATTTCTCTAGGTTATCTTTTGATAAATCTTTAAAGCGAAAATTCCCACTTCTTAAAAGTGTTTATTTGTTTTGTTTTAATCCAATAATAATCAATACAGGAACACTTCTCGGACGTTTCTCAACAACCAGATTTTCTAAATTTAACTTTCAAAGAACTTGTTACACTGGTTTCATCCGATCGGTTAAGAGTTTCCAATGAAGCAACTGTATTCGCTGCCTGTTTAAGGTGGACAAGAAATGCAATGGTTCAAGAAAACAAGCCAACGACTAAATCAGATGGAAATGAATCTTTATTGGCCAGTTTACTAAGACATGTACGATTGACACAAGTGCCTCCTCGCCTTCTAATTGGTTAGTTGATTATTGATTAATTGACCTTGAAAAGCTTTTTCAAATATCTTTATTTTATACTGATGAAAAGGGTAAATACGTATGAAGTGGTTAGTTAATTGGCGTTTGGAAAGATTACTCGGTTTGGAAAGTGTGTTAAAGGGAAAATCTGCAGTGAGAAAATGGGGAATTTCATTCACATGAACTAAATTTAGATCCTGATGTTTTGAAAATTATTTAAAAATCAGGTAAATAATAATAATAATCATTTTGTTGTTTAGTTGATGGCGGCCAACAGTGGGATCCATGGCACGAGTTTCTTTTTGCTTGGGACTCATCAGCTGCATACATGCCTAGTGAGTAACTACTTTTCGGAAGTTCTAAATAGTATGAAAGACGGATCTTGGACTCCATTGTTAGCCAACAATAATCAAATACCCTCATGTCCGTCTTCAGACATCGTCGAAAGCGTTTGCACTAGGAGTCGAACTTTTGGTCTGACGAAAGTCAACAGACAAGAAACATGAAATACTCATAATCGTTAGATGGTTATAGGCAATCAGAAGAAAGCTCCGCCCTTATATTTCGTCCTTACTGACACTCATCAGTAGGGCGCCTCTGCAACCTTGAAGGAATTGACTTCCTTTATAACCACAGAGTCTGAGTATAACCACTACAGTCCCACAGGAGATTCGTTTTTGGTATGAATGGCTTAGTATAAACATTCCTGACTTCAAGAACAGATGATGCGCATTCAAATCTTGGAGAGGCACATATCCCTGCAGGTATTTTGCTGATGTTTTACATTTTGAAACTTAAAGTTTTATCAAAATTAGAGTGAGTCGAAATATATCAAAATTCAGCTTATAATACGCAGTAACTGGGTGGCCTACATTCAAATCCAAATTAGCAAAGGTTTCATTGTCCTCCTAGACACCATCTTCAGAGCTGGCTTCAAAATGAGATAAGATTTCAGCATCAGGAAAAACTGTAATTTTATTCAGGAAAAATACCCATTTATTCATAAGTAAAAAGACAGTTCTTTGTTCAGCGAAGAAATTTCTTTTCGACGACTTCATTTTCAAGCTGTACAGTCGTATTTATATTACAGAAAAGGTCATTAAGTGGCACTAAATAATTACTCAGTCAATATACATATTTTTTTCCCTTCACGTTCCCCAGTGGAACATAGGGCTTCAAGCTAGTGGCTTGAAGTTTCTGTAGCAGTGTTTATTTTACGGGATGGGGTTGCTAGCCTCATGCCCAACCTTTCCTCTTCACCAGCATTATTTCTGGCTTAGAGAGGTAAAGGAGTGCGTCGACCGGGGATCGAGCCCCGGACCATATGCATGATCGGCGAGCATCCTAACCGCTATGCCACCGACAAATATTTTTTTACAATATACATATATGTGATAAGAATAACGATAATTAAAATGTTATAATTAGATTAGAAGCAATATTGTAATGCACGCTGAAAATTCCATAACTGTACCACAAATACTGTTTGGAATAAAGCTATTATTATTATAATGGGTAGAGTTGAAGTGGATAAATTACAAAATTATTAAAGATCGTTTTATAAGTGAATTGATATCAAAAATGTTTTAAAAATGTCAAGTGCTGCTTAAAAATTTTAAAAAATTAGGAGTACGATTACGATAAGAATGAAGATGTGAAGTGAAGTGGAAAGAATTCAAGTGGTAAAATAAAGAAAGAATCCGCCCCTAGACAAATTACAGTGCCAAAAAAAGAAACTGTTTATGAGTCTGGCATTCAAAGGTGACACCATTTCGGAATTGATTAAAAATCGTTTATCTAAATGTATTAAACGTACGTTTCCTGCAGCTAACTTACAACTAGTTTTTATCAGCCGAAATATGATTAGATAATGCATCAAGGATAGATTACCGCTTTTGTCCACATCCATGTGTATTTACTCTTTTACCTGCTCTTGTGGAGCTGTTTATATTGGACGCTGTAAGCGTAATCTCCGAAAACGTGTAGCTGAAGACTATCCAGTCTGGTTAATGAAAGGCGAACGTAGAACTGTTAGAGTCAGGTCATTTAGCCCCACGTGATTCATCTTTCAAAGTTATCTACATGCCAAAATCGAATCGATCCAAAAGTTTACGTTTTCTTCACTTATGCATAGCCGAAGCTTTAGCTATACATGAACAGAAACCTAAATTATGTGTTCAAAAACGTTTTGTCAAACCCCTTTCTTTACCTTGGTCATAGTGATGTTCTTTCTAGTTTTTACTTTATTTTATTTTACCACTTGAATTCTTTCCACTTCACTTCACATCTTCATTCTTATCGTAACCGTACTCCTAATTTTTAACAATTTTTAGACAACACTTGACATTTTTAAAACATTTTTGATATCAATTCACTTATAAAACAATCTTTAATAATTTTGTAATTTATCCACTTCAACTCTACCCCTTATAACATTTTAATTATCGTTATTCTTATCACATATATATGTATATTGACTGAGTAATTATTTAGTGCCACTTAATGACCTTTTCTGTAATATAAATACGACTGTACAGCTTGAAAATGAAGTCGTTGAAAAGAAATTTCTTCGCTGAACAAAAAACTGTGTTTTTACTTATGTAATTTTATTCACTAGTTTTAAGCAATTAGTCCTTTTATAAATAAATTTGGATAGCGTTATTAGGAGACGGAGATTGTCTGAAAACTGTGATGTATTTGCGTAATACGTTTCCAACAATCTGATCACACATACACATATTAACTTGTCAAGTCAGCTTATATGAAAAACGGAAGGTGAATTAAAATAAACAAAATGATAAAGGATATAAGAATGATAAAGATACTCGTAGTAATACAATGAGAAAAAGAACAGTGAGGTTGGTTAAAACGAATAATAAAATTGTTTTCATTCACACAGAATAGGCGGCTTCAATCTACGGATAGCCATCGCCCACGGTGTATTTCAATATCCACCACCACTTGACGAATTGTATAGATAATCTTGAGAGCTGTTTTGGTATCATTTCTGTGGTTCATATCAGTTAAGTGTTTTGCTACAGATGGGGCTGGTATAGGGAGGCATAGTTAAATGCTAATTAAAGAGAGCTCAGTTTATTTGTCCGGCTGATGTTATATAGATGAAGAGGAGAAAATCTTCCATTACGGGTAAAATTTATTTTGATAAAGTCTCACAGTGTTGTTATACAGTAATATTTACTGATGACCACGTTTCGAGCACAATTTATTGCTGCTCATAATCATACCTTGATATGATTATTTAATTACTATTTACAAATTTTCTATGCTTTATAGATGCTTTAGAAAAAGAAGCATTATTTCAAGAAGATCTTATGGCAATACGTTTAATTATCTCTGCACTACGTGTACACTTCTCGTCAGATTCACTTCACTTGCAGACACATAAAACTCAACGTAGAACTAATATGGAATGTTGTCTTAAATATAATACAGTGACAAACAACTCCACGCATATTGTCAAGACTAACACAGCCGACAATAATAACAGTAATAATATTAGTGGTGTTATGAACCGTTTACCAGATACCAAAGCATCATCTCTGTCTTCTTTCTCATCCTTATCTACTGCATCAATTGATGAGTCAAACTCAATCAGCACTTCGCCTCAGCAGCAGCAACAACAACAAACGGAAAGAGTCGGCATTAACAATCAAGATCCCAGTCATAATTTGTATCATCATCAAGGTCATTCTGCTGATCAGCCATATCAATCTCCACAGTTCAACAACTGCAGAAAATCGCATAATCAAGTCTCAGATAGTCATAAATGTGATGCATATATGATGAATAAGCCGAGACCATCAACAATTGGACGTTTATGGGCACTCGGTGGAAAAACTATGACAACTACACGTGCACTACAAGAAATTCTTGTAGGTTAATTATATCTACTTTCTTTTTCTAAAAAGGTCACATAAAATGACTCGAAAAAATTTAACATTTTACCTTTGTCTGTCAGCAGGGGTATTATAAGAGTGTCATGGTAGGATAAAACATCAGGATGACAAGGCAACTGAAGTACTTAAGTATATATATATCTTGTTAGAGAGAAGTTTTGTAGAAGTTTCTTCTCCTGCTTGCTGAGACTGTCGCAATAAAACGGATGAAACCTGGCCCAATAGGAATTTGACGTTGGACTTCTCTTATCTAACTACGTAATTTATATATGTCCAAACCAAGTTCACTTTTAACAGTTTGAAAAACTTTGGGCATTGGGTATATGATATTCATTATAATAAAGGTTTTATTTTGTATTTCACAATGAATGAAAACCAAAACGATATTGTTGTCACTTTTACTGACGTTTCGCTATTTAATGCTGCTGCTAATAGCTTTATCAAAGTGGTATTATTAAACAAGAATTTACAAAATCTCAGGCCACAAAAGTGATTTTGACAATACTGAAATCATCATCCAGAAAAAGCATTTCAGAAATCACAAAGAACGTCGGTGCACCGTGTTAGACTTAAGCAACCATGCACATGGTCCGGGGTTCGATCCCCTGCCGACGCACACCTGATATCTATGGTCGGCCTGCAAAATTTGGGTTACCGATATCCATGCTGAAAATTCCATATTTGTACTGAAAATACGGTGTGGCGTCAAGCTGTAATAAAAAAATCATCAGAAGCACTTCACATCAAATCGAATCCAAATTGTCTGAATAGGAATGATGGACTGAAACAGAATTTCACCTGGTTACAACACCTCTCTCCCCCAAGAAGTGACAAAGTTGACACGAATGATTACAAGTGCTTTTATAATTCTACACACTTATCGGATCAAACAATCTACAGCGACCTGGTTTTGTTATCTTTACCAATTGGTCAATTCGACAACACGAAAATGACCCCATGCTGAGCAACGATGATTAAGTTGTTATATATAAAAGCTGAGAGTTTTGTAAATTCTGGTTTAATAATACTACTTTGATAAAGCTATCAAAAGGAGCATTAAATAGCGAAACGTCAGTAAAAACGAAACAATATCGTTTTGTTTTTCATTCATTGGGAAATACAAAAACCTTTATTATTATTATTAAGGTACAACAGACTTTACAAGAAGTTAGAATTCAGATGTCATATATTTTACAGAGAAGAATACTTCGAAATTTTAGGGTAATTCACGCATAACTGAGAACATCTTCATAGTTACGTGTGGGATTATATACCGAATAAAATGTTTTATTGGAAACTATTTCAACAGTGTGGCTAACAGTAAATTTAAGTAGTTCATGAGTACTGTTCAGATGAATATAACAACTGGCCTAGTTGAACTATTTTGTGTATAATGTGTGACACGTTTATGTTATGACTTATTTGTAGTGGATCATGAAACATCTAGGAAATAAGTGAAGTTATTAGATGTTGCCTGCCAGGAATCAATCTCTAGGAAATCCTCAAGTCAGCTGTTATCATTGTAACGTCAATACAAATAATGTCTCTTCCGAAATGGTGATCACTGACTACTTAAAAGTATTACTGCTGAGCTATACAGGTTGGATTTAAAATAGGGAATTTCTTCTTTTATGCCTCTGAATCCTGAGGTAACTAGTGTCTGTCTCACACGTATAAATTAGTTGTCAACTTGTGTGATCTATCGCCTCGCCTAGATTACTAGCTCGCTAGCTTTCTAGCCGGTCCCAAGCCCGGATTAAGAGGGAGGGTTGGGGCGTGATGCTAGAAACTCCACCCCCAAAACTTAACCAAATTGCTACAAAAACTTCAACGCACAAATATATTAAAAATTCTAAAAATGCAAACAATAACTTTATTTTCCGCTGGAATCGGGGAAGAGAAATGATGCAGGCTGGCGAAAGCCTTCAGGAAGCCACTCAGCCGATGTGCCTTCTTTCGATGAAAGCAAAAATAAGGATGGGGACGCGGAATATTCGTACAATGTACGAAGCTGGAAAGGCTGCCCAGGTAGCGGCAGAAATGAGAAGGTATGGAATAGAAGTGTTGGGAATCTGCGAGAGCAGATGGAACGGATGTGGAAGGTGTCATCAATCAACTGGAGAGACAGATCTATCAGTGGAAGTCATTGATTTTTTGTAAAATATACTCGGTTTCATTCCCCATGACATTCACCTACAATACGCATCTGCAATTTTGACAAATGCTGGTTTTGAAACACTGGTGGTAAATTTAAAGTAAATACCGATATTCTAAAATCTAATTCAGTTAAAGGATTTCATCATGAGCTGACATCAGTTAGAGAACCATTGAAAAACCTACAAGGACTACTGGACAGCTGTTTCGTCAGCCTAGTTTTGGACTCTTCATCAGTATACACTCACACTGCCGGGTCCAAACCCAGCACCTTCCGGTTACAAGGTGAGTCCGTGTCAGCTCATGATGAAATCCTGTAAGCAATCAAATCAAATCCCTGCAATACAAACACTTGAATATCAATCTGACGCTTACTAGTGACTGGCCCCATTCAGGCAGGTAGTTAGTTCCTGGGTTCTAGTGAGAATTCATAACCATTGGGGTACAGCAGGTTAGATGTGAGGATTAATACTCGCTAGCGCTGACGTTCACTAGTGGTCGCGCTATATTTTGAATTGGCAGAAGTTGGAATTCATGGGTTGGCCATTGGATTGAGTGCCAATGGCTCAATGGTTTACGGGCTCGCTTGCCTTGTAACCAGAAGGTCCTGAGTTCGAACCCTTGCATTGGGGTGGGTGTGTACTGATGAAGACTGCAAAACTAGTCTGACGAAAAAGCTGTCCAGTACTCCCAGGTTTTCCAATGGTTCTCTAACCGATGTCAGCTCATAATGAAATCCTGTATTTATTTATTATTATTATTTATTTGTGCGTTGGTGGCATAGCGGTTAGGACGCTCGCCAACCATGCGCGTGTTCCGGGGTTCGATCCCCGGCCGACGCACTCCTTTACCTCGCTAAGGCAGAAATAATGCTGGTGAAGAGGAAAGGTTGGGCATGAGGCTAGCAATCCCATCCTGTAAAATAAATACTGCTTCAGAAACTTCAAGCCAACTAGCTTGAAGTCCTATGTTCCACTGGGGAACGTGAAGGAAAAAAAAGGAAAAAAAATTATTTATTTCCTTTAATTCCTACAGGAACATAGGGCTTCAGCCACACGTCTCCATTGCGTTCTGTTCTCTGTTAGAGTCTTCACCTGGCTCCATGTCTGCCCACACGTTTTTATCTCTTCTTCACATGACCTCCTCCAAGTGACCCACCCTTGCAATGACGACCAACTAATTCGCCGCTTCCCTTTCGGGTTCCACTCGAGCAATGGCTTGTCTAGTGATGTCACTTGATGGTTTCCTCAGAGTATGGCCAATCCATCTCCATTTCTTCCTGCCTATTTGTTTCACAATCGGTTCCTGCTGTGTTGGTTCGCTCATTGCCAGAAATCTCTGTTGCTGATCTTTTCTGGCCATCTGATTTTGAGTATTGAGCGAAGACAACTGTTAATTCTCTGGTTAGCATTCTTGGTGTTTCCGCTGCCTAATATTTGAACGTTGGTTGTCCCAGTCAAATTGATTTCCTAGTCAGAAGCTGGATCATGCAGAACAGATAGTATAGAGCAAAACCAGTAATTCGGAAGCTACTGGTTTAAATCCTGACTTTCAGTTCACGTTCAATCATCACTCATTACACTAACAGCAGTCTGCTAAACCAAAATTATTTCAGATGGCTTCAACATAAAAATGTGATTACTTTCCTTTTGTTACACTAATACTGTACGCTTAATTGTCTTTTCAACATTGACAGGAATATGATCCATACTGGAATACTTGGCGTACAATTGGTCAACTGCCTGGTCAAAGACAACAATGCGGTTGTATAATATTAACAGATGGTCGTCTATTAGTTGTCGGTGGAAGAGATGAACTCAAGACTCTGAGTACAGTTGAATGTATCAATATTGAAGAAATGTCTCAAATGTATGAATTCAATTCAGAGTATCAGAAAAAGTTGAGTAATAAATCCCCGTTAGAAGCAGCAACATCAAAACAAGGCGTATCCAGAAGTTCTGCTCGACAGCATAGTACTGATCGTAATGATATAAGGAGTAATGAGAATCAACAGGATTTATCCACTGAATTGAATAGTAACAGTGCTACTGCACTTTGCCCTACAACTACCTCCTACAGATCAGAACAACAAACACAGAATATGCCAAGTAACTCTACAACAATGAATAGTAAAGAAATACAGAGTAAAGGAGAAGAATATAGCAGTTGGAAGATTGTATCAGCAATGGCAACACATCGGTGGGTTATACTGTGTTTTGAATCTTCTTGATAACCTTTTGATTGTGTAACTCTGACATATATTTACATTTTCTATAGTTTGGTTTGTAATGTTATGTTAGTTATGTTTTTACGAGTTGATCACGGACTGATATCAGTTAGAGAACCATTGAAAACCAGCAACATGGAGTACTGGACAGCTGTTTCATCCTAGTTTGGGAATCATCGGCAGTACGCACCCTGGAGTTCTAGTGGGAAGTCGTGACCAGTGAGGTCCAATTAGATGTCACGTGTGTGGATGGATGTCCCACCAACGACAATGGTTGGGGTCGCGCTAAATCACGAATTGGTAGAAGTTAGAATTCATGAGCAATTGAATCGGCTTCCAGTGGCTGAATGGTATACGAGCTTGCCTTGTAACCGGAAGGTCCTGGGTTCGAATCCCAGTAGGTGCGTACTGCCGATGATTCCAAAACTAGGATGAAACAATAGCTGTCCAGTACTCCCTGGTTTTCAATGGTTCTCTAACTGATTTCAGCCCGTGATCAACTCGTAAAAGTATATATATATATGTCTATTAAGTGCTAATTGATTTCATCTAGGATGACGCTAACATACTGATGAGCACAACTGTCCACTCTGAAATTCGCATTTGATTTTTAAACACACAACGCTCTGATGAAATTTTAGAGATATAATTTCCTTGAAGTTTGATCATCGATGGATATCAGTTAGAGAATCATTGATAAGCAGAGAGTACTGGACAGCTGATTCGTCCTGGTGTAGGATTCTTCATCAGTATGCACCCTGCGGTGTTTGAACCGAAGACCTTCCGGTCACAAGCCATGCTCTTTGACCATACAGTCAACAAGGATCCGACTCAATGACCAGTTCGTGAATCCTAACTTCTATCAGTCCGTGATTTTAGCCTGACCACCAGCCAGTGTCATCCGTGGCAAGTGTTTGCCCTCACTCCCGGCTGGTGGAACCCACTGGTCACAGATTCTCACTAGAACTCCAAGAAACATTCTCCTGTAGCTATTCACTAGTGGGCATCAGATTAATTTTTGAGAGTTTGTTTGTCGGAATTCAATCTGTTTCAGATCCGATCACGGATTGGTGTAGATTAGCGAACCTCTGAAAACCAGGAATGAATGGACTACTGAAGAGTTCCAAATAAAAATGAAACATATGTCTCTGGTTTTCAGTTGTCCTCTAACTTACATCAATCTGTGCTCAAACCTGAGACAGATCAAATCCCAACAAAGTAACTCTTGAAGTTACAATTTATTCTCCTGCTCAACAGTCTTTAGAACTCATGGACCAACACAACTGGTACTTATATAAGGTATAGTTTTGGTTCAGAAATGGTGCTCAGTGAAACTCGCGCTAACAGTAGTATTAAGTGATGTTATCGAAGGCAATGAGTGTATTCTTGACGACCAAAAACAGTCGTCATATTGAAACATCTTCTTGTCATCGAAATCTTATCAAATATTAATCATACTCTCATATACGCGTTGATAGTTGATTCTGTTAGAGGACAAATTAAGTAAAACAATATTATGAGGTAAAAAGCATCTGATTTTAGGCATCTCTAAGAATATTGATCAGGTTAAGCGTAATAAGTTAGAAAAAATAACTTGCTTAGTTATTAGCTGGATATTTTACAAATCTAAGGATTACTTACATGGAATAAAAAATGCCTGACCACTATGTTTATTATTATTCCCTTCGGTTATGAGTGGAAAATAGGGCTTCAACACCACATCTCCACTTTGTTCTGCTGCCTTCGCGGATTTCAGTAGATTGATTGCATTCAGGATTTCTGCTTTTGCTGGAGGATTAGTGTCCACTGACAGGCGGTTCTGTGCGTGCTATTGGTGGTAGGGGGTTCTGGGCGAGTTGCAGGTTAGGATCGATTCAAGATTCCTTTGAGATGATCAGCCCATTGTTTTGTTTGTTTCTTCTCCTTGGTAATTAGGTTCCCTTGAACATCTTTTATTGGTTTCATCATGGTTGATCTCTTCCCAGATAGAGGCCTTGTTATATGATATGATGTCCTGAGGTCTCTTTCACTTGCTAACTGTCTGTTCTGCTTCACTTGCCAGCCAGTATGTCGTATAATCGTCTTTTTTATCTTTCCTGGCACTATTCTTCACTTCTTTATACACTAAGCTCAGTTCCCCCTTCTCTTGTCTATCTTTGTATTGCTCCATCTCCTGTTTCACCACCCTCCTCTCGTCTATCAGCTTCCAGGTATCCGTTGAGAGCCATTCCTTGTCTTATCTCTTCTTTCTTTCTAGAACAATTGTATACGTTTCCTTGATTATCGACTTCAGAGAGTTCCAATGTTCTTCCCCACAGGTTTCCTCAGTGATACCACGTAGTATCTCCGACTTTGCTCTGATCTGATCTGTAGTGAAGGCATCCCTTCTAGTTTTGTCCTTCAGTTTCTGAATGTTGAACTTGAATTGTGCTCTGTTTCCATTTGTTTTCATGGATTTCAGTTTCACCTTGAAGGTTCCTTGAACTAGATGATGCTCTGAGCCCACATCTGCTCTCCTTCCCCACTTTTTGTCCAGTAGGCTCCACTTTCTTGAACAGTATTGAGATGAGATCTATCTGGTTTGTTGTGTGCCCGTCAGTTGAAATCCATGTTGCCTTGTATATGTCCTTGTGATTGTACAAGATGCCTCCAATCAACAAATCACTGAAGGCTGACATTCATATCGCCCATAAGGATTTTGATGTCACCATTTGTGATTTTGTCCATCACTGTTTGTAGTTGTCTATAAAAATCTTCCTTCTTCTCTTGTTCCGCGTTGCTTGCAGCATTGTGCGTAGCACTGGATAATTGTAACCTTCCTTCCTTCTTTTTAAGTTGAATCTTGCTCAACCTCCACACTTTACGCATTTTACTATCGGCTGATAAATTGCGTAAGGTTTCAGTGTGCACCCATCCCAAATCGAACCCCGGCCTCCCTTGTGGTTGGCTTGCATCGTACCACTGAAACACAGAATGACACACTGAAGAGTTGTTCTTTTATTCAACACTGTTTCGTTCATTGAGTCTGTCAGATTGGAATTACTCACAGTTCAGTGTTACACTTCAATCTCTGAGTTAATTCTAACCAGCTATAGTACCTATGAAATCAATTTAAAACCAGAGAAATAGCCGCCAAATGTCTAAGTCACTTTGATCTGGCTCTAATCAACCCTACTCTTTGGCATGAAAAGTTTCCAACTACTCATAATAATCAATAATACGTACCATACGTTGTTTATTGATTTTCTCTTAACTTCGATAAATCAATAAGACATAATCCGTGCGAGTTGTATGATGTATTTGAGCGACACAACTTGAAAAATATGATCATGCATTTACTCATTATAGAAAGTTATATGAAGGACTTGTAGACCTTTATCAACAACTGTCTTCGCTCTATGCTGAAGATCAGATGGCCACTGGAAAGAATCACCAACAAGAAACTATGGGAACAAACAAACGAAACAAGAACCAATCGCCCAACAAATATGCAGGAGAAAGTGGAGATGGATTGGACACTCGCTGAGGAGGCCGCTGGGTGACATCGCACGTCAGGCCAGTGCTCCAGTGGAACCCGAAGTGGAAGCGGGGAGTGGGACGTCCTAGGGTGACATGGAGGAGGTCGTGTGAAGAAGAGTTGAAACAGTATGGACTAACATGGATGCAAGTGAAAAGTACATCAGAAGACAGAAGCAAGGGGAGACGTGTAGTTGAAGCCCTATGTTCCACTAGGAACCCAAAGGAACAATAATAATAATATGGAGGACAAGACGTGATGAGGTGAGAGAATAGAATTTTGAAGGTGAAAATAACAATGGGAATCAACAAATCAAAACAGGGAGACAACAGCACATCAATCTTCGTATCAAAACAAAATTTGCTAAGGAAAGAGTAATACGATGACAAACTATTTCATCTTTCATAATACATAAAGGTGGTCTGATTGCATACTAGTAACTAGTGAGATGTGTCTAGTCCTTTTTGGTGCAGACTGAATTCTATCAGTCAGGTTTGCAATGTGGCCAGCATTCTAGGTAGCTCGCCATCACGGTGCACATTGATTTGACGATATTAGATAGTTGGAGGCAGTCGACAGGAAGCTTTGGACCTAGGTTTCGTGCTAGTTGCCACTCGTCAGTAAGACAGGCGTATCTGCAACCCTGAAGGAACCCATATCCCTTCTGAGATTCAAACCTGCGTCACCCAGTGCTGCAGTCAGAGACGTTACCACTGAGCTATTCAGGCTGGCGATTTACCTCCTGTAGGACTGTAGTGGATATTCTAATTGGACACTAGTAACTAGCCTAGAAAGGACTGGACACATCAAATTAGTTACTAGTTTCCAATCAAAATATCCACTACAGTCCTACAGGAGGTAAATCGCCAGCCTGAATAGCTCAGTGGTAACGTCTCTGACTGCAGCACTGGGTGACGCAGGTTTGAATCTCAGAAGGGATATGGGTTCCTTCAGGGTTACAGATACGCCTGACTTGGTGACGGGTGGCAACTAGCACGAAACCTAGGTCAAACTGGGCTTCCTGCCGATTTACTCCATGCATCTAATATCATCACATAAAGGTGGTTTAAGTATACCAATCGCCACAGATGCTAAAAACTGTAAAATACATCCTCAACACTTTTTTTGAAAAAAAAATGAACGATTATACTTGCAAACAGGATAATACAAGCTCGTCTTATTTCGTCGTGGATTCTCTATCTTCAACTGCGTACATCCTAAACAAAATCAATTATATGTTACAAAATGGTGTCTCAACATACTTTTTACAATGATTTCAATTTGTAGGTAGAAAGTATAAGCATAAGCAATACAATTCCAAAGATGATGTAAGTAGACAATTATTAGACAAGGGGTGGGGTAGAGTTCAGATTTCGCTTGTAAACAAGGTCGAACTAGACACAAGTTACAAGATAGAACAACAGAGTGAATATATAAAAAGAAGTAGTATGATGG